TAGATATGATGTAACGGCAAGCCTCCAGCAGCCCCATCTTGGCTCACAGAACAACCTGCTAAGTGTGGGTGGTAAAGACTCAGGTCTGTGGAGCTGCTGTGCCCACCTCAGGCTCCTTTTGTAGGAGGCAAGTTAAATCACTACTGTCTTATGATTTTGTTATTGGTAATCAAGCCTCATTATGATGGACACAGCAAGCGACATTTAAAACAAAAATCACCAGAAGAACTGGGAAATGAATTTGTGACATGTTCCAGAAAGGAGAACAAGATGACAAGAAAAGAGAGGACTGTTAAACAAGATAGAGTGGGGGAGCAGGGGATGGCGGATGGCAGAGCTTCAGGAAATTATCCAGGAAACCATTGAACAGGTGGGACTTTTCTTAACAAACATAAACATTGACAGCCACAGCAGTAGGGGACTTGTCGGTGTGTGCAGCGCCCTGGGAAGGGAGCTGACTCCCACGTTACTCGTGTATTTTCAGCCCTGTCAAGAACAGAAAAACAGTTTTAGGTGACTAAATGCAAAAGAAAGCTGGAAAATGAACTAAAGAAATATACATAATACACTTGAAAATATTGTGGAAGAAAGAAAAATACCCAAAGTATCAACACGATGGATGGAGTGAGGAAGAAATCTGCAAAGATATAAAGAAAGATCTTGTTGGGTAACATGGTGAACAACTCTAATTCCAAGACTAGGGAGCCTACTTGAGTTCAAGGCCAGCCTCGGATACATAACAAGTATAAAACCAATCTGGTTATATAATGAGACCCTGAGATCTCAAAAGACGACAGGCAAAACCCAGAAAGATAGAAAGGTCTTGTCTTAGGGAAGCAGAGGCATTGAGAAATTAGTGGGGGTACTTATCAGGTTTGTTTTAAACAAGGGTCTTCTCAGCCCTCTACACCTGAAGTCCAGAACGCCCCCGCGCACCCCCAATCCAGGCTCCAGTCCTGATGGAAAGGACAAACTGGGAGGCCGCAGGAAGAAAATGTCCTAAACCTGCAGAGATGACAGAGTGGGATCGGGCATCGCTCTAGGTTGCCTTCTGTTGCTCTGATAGACACTGGGACCAAAGGCGACTCGGGGAGGAGAGGGTTTGCCTCATCCCACAGCTCACTGTCCATCACGACGGGAAGTCGGGACAGGAACTCCAGGCAGGAGTCCGGAGGCAGGAACTGAAGCAGAGGCCATGGAGGGGTGCTGATCACTGACTCGCTCCCTGTAGCGTGCTCAGCCTGCTTTCTTATACAACTCAGGGCCACTCGCCCAGGGGTGACACCACACACAAGTGGGATGGACTCTCCCACAACAACTATTAATCTATAGGACAGTCAGATAGAGGTATTTTCTCCATTGAGGTTTCCTCTTCCCAGGTGACTTAGTTTGTGTCAAGTTAACAAAAACCTTGTTGTTGTTGTTGTTTTGAGAAAGGATTCCTGTGGTGATATTTTATTTATGCTGATACTGTATTTGTGTGTTAATAAATAAAGTTTGCCTGGAGATCAGAGGAAATAGCAGGCAGTGGTAGCACACGCCCTTATTCTGATCACTTGACAGGCAGGGTCTCTGTGTGTTCAAGGCCATACTAGGGAACAGAGCCAAGCATGGTGACACACGCCTTTAATCCCAGTACCAACCATAGAGACCTAGAGGTCTGTACAGACAGGCAGTGACAAGAAGTGAGGTAGCTGGGCTAAGAGCCAATGAGAGGGCAGAACAGCAAGGCAATAAAGGTGTGGGTAGACAGGAAGTAGCTCACTTTGGAAGCTGCAGAGTTGGTGAGGTAAGCTTGGCTGGTGGCTATTCCTATTTCCCTGATCTCTAAGGCTTTCACCCCTATATTTGGTTCTGTGTTTTTTATTGAATAAGATCAATTAGAAATTCATCTACAGATTCCTCTGTGCCCTGGCTGTCCTAGAACTCGCTCTGTAGACCAGGCTGACCTCAGACTCAGTGATCCACCTGCCTCTGCCTCTAGTGCTGGGATGAAAGGTGTGTGCCACCATCACCGCCTGATTCAAGTCAGCACAAGACTAACATGCACAGTCATCATTCCAACATGAAGGATGTAGGCTCAGCAGGGCACGCTCCCCAACAGTGAACAGTGAGCTCAGGGAAAGAGAATGGGAGTGATTGTTTAATGGATATAGTTTCAGTTTTATCAGAAGGAAATGACCATGGTAGTAGCTGTCTCACTTAAATATAAACATATTTATAGCACTAATCTGTATACTAGAAATGGCTCAGATATTAATTATATATTGAGTGCATTTTAACTAAGTTTTTAAAAGGGATCTCTGAAAATAGCAGGAAAGACTAAAGAGCATGGTCAGGACTCTACAGCCAGGCTGACACTCAAAAATGGTATGTATCCGGGAAATACCGCTGCTGCACTGTCCTGTACCTTCCAACATACTTCCAGAGAGTTCTTTGACTTCCTCACTTCCCCCGATTCCCAGTTCCCAGTCTGAGGAGGGTTTATCTGATTGGCATATCCTTGGTCCTGTGCCTGAACTCCAGCTGCAGCTGATGCCATAAACCTGAGTATTTGACGTCTGTGATTTTGAGTGTGAAAGGCTTCCTCAGCCTACCCCCAAGATTCATGATGTTGGAAATTCTTCAGACACAGGAAGGACATTCAGTGATGGGCATCCAACAGCAGCGAAGGACAATCGTTCACTATACTATCATGGCCAAGACATTTCGTGTTCCCTAGATTTGATGTGTGGTTAAAGGGATTGTCTATAAGCTGCTGGGCATGGTGGCATACAACTTTAATCCCAAGCACCCAGGGAAGAGAGGCAGGGGATTTCTATGAGTGTGAGACCAGCCTGGTCTACAAGTTCTAGGCTAGCCAGGGCTACACAGTAAGACTCTGCCTCATAAAACTAAAATTTAAAAAAAGGCGGGGGGTGGGGGTTGGGGGGATACTACAAATCACAGAAAGGCTAACAGAAGAAGAAACTCTTTGGCTGAGTCTTAAGGTTTTTTTTTTTTTTTTTGTCTGGGGGTGGGACTGGGTGTTATGAATAGCAAAGAAGGACAGTATGGAAGTGTGGGAACCACTGTTCCTGACAGTGTGATTTTTAATGCCATTTGGCTTATCAAACTGTATGCTTACGATTTTGATAAAAATAAAATAATGCTTTATATTTTAATAACACTACTACCACTAAAAGTTAGAAGGAAAGGAGGAAAAGCTAGTTAGTAGGAGAACACAAAGTGCTTATTTTTAGATGTCTCTTTCTATGACCTCTGCCTTGCCCTCTGCCCACACCTATTTGTACAGAGATGGCATGATACAAAGTACCTAGATATCAAATGCACACAGTAAACCTGGAGATCATGGGATATCAAGCCGTGCAAAGAATCTGTTCAAACTTGTCTATGACTTCACTGGAAGTCTTCCTTTGTTAACTGGAAGATGCTGGTATCTGTTATACTACATGAAGTAATAGACATGAGTCAGCTTCTGCCGCTGTAACAAACACCTGAGATGATCAACTCAGTCAATTACGATCTGAATAGAAAATGTCCTCCTAAAAGTCTTATTGTTGGGGCTGGAGAGATGGCTCAAAGGTTAAGAGCACTGGCTGCTCTCCCAGAGGTCCTGAGTTCAATTCCCAGCAACCACATAGGGGCTCACAACCATCTATAATGCAATCTGGTGCCCTCTTCTGGCATGCAGGCAGAACACTGCATACATAATAAATAAATAAATCTTTTACAAAAAAGTCTTATTGCTGAGGACGTGGCTCCAGCTTGGTAGAGCTATAGGGGACGGGGTGTGACTGTATCAATGAATTCATTGATGAGTCTATACTGAATGGGCTCTTAGGAAGTGGGGCCTGACTGGAGGAAGTATAGTAGTAGGTTATGCTCTGCCCCTGGTTCTTTTCTGTTCTCCTTTCTCTTCCTGACTGCCAGAAGGTGAGCAGCTTTCTCCCACTGTGCCTCTCTGTTGTGAGGCCTCAACGCTGCCACAGGCTCCAATACAATGGCCTCAACTGAGTATGGACAGAAACCTCTGAATGGTGCCCAAATAAACCCTTTCCCCCTTACGTCATTTTCTCAGGCATGTTATCATAGTGATAAAAAGTTAGCGAATTCACCAACTTTTAAAGCAAAAATATTTATTTTGGGCCCACGGTATCAGAGGTGTCAGTCCATGACTACTTGGCCTCACTGCTTTGGGCCTGCTAGCAGGGTATCATACCATGGTGGGACCATGTGATAGAATAAAACTTGCTTATATCATAGGCCACAGAACAAAGGAAAGCAGAGAGAGGAGCATCGTCCCCAAACCTCCTTGATGAGCATGCCTCCAAGGACCTGAAGGCCTCCCAATAGGCCCCTTCTCTTAAAAGTTCTGCTAGCTCCCAATTGCAGCATCCTGGGGCCACACATTTAACATGGGCCTTTGGGTGACATTCCAGCTCCAAATTAGAGCAAGATATAAAGCACCTAGGATATGGCAGGTCCTCAAAGATGGTATTTTCTCTTTCTTTTGGGGTTTCTCACATTCTATAATGACTTTCTTTGTGATGTTGTGCTTGTAGGTTTAAGAAACACTAGATTCCTATAACTACCATTCCTTCAGCCCATGGTGCCTGTGTTAAGAGAGTCCTCATCCACCAACAAAACTTCGTGAGTTCTTAGCATTAAGAAGGGTCCTCACCAAAGGATAACTTAGTCTGATTCACGATGGTTAAGCTCCAACCTCATTTTGACTTATGGAAAATGATACTCAATGTCTAGCTCTGGCTCCCAGCTCTTATACACAATAGATAGAAATTTTTGTCTAAAATTAGCTAGGGTATATATAACAGGGTAGAGTTATAAATAATTTAACTGGCACCTAAATTTCAACATTTTGGAATAAATATTAAAATTATCCAAACTTAGGAAAACTGGGGTATAATAACCAGGTAGATGAAGCAACTGGTGGTCACCCCAAAATAGGAGGCCCCAACATTTACATTTGGAGCACTTACCTTCTCTGTTCACTGTAGGCTGGGTGCACAGCTCGGGGACAAGTTGGTCATGTGATTCACTCCTAGCCGTCTGCTGGTTCTGACAGGATGCTTGCTCCTCCCAGGAGGCAGTGGGCCACCCATCAGAGGCTTCTGTGGGGAAGGACGAAGGAGACCCGCCATCTAAGAGGAAGCTATCGCGTAGGGTTCGCTTGGCGCCTTTCTTACACTTCCTCTTCTGCCTCTTTGGCATCTGGTTCCCCTCGCTTGACCCAAGCTGACCATTCTCGAGCCTCCCTGTGGGCTGGAGGAGCTGATCCATGTCCTTGGTGAACTCCAGCAGAGTGCCCTCAGAGAGGCTTCCAGCAGGGGAGTCAGAACCATAGCTAGGAGCCTTGTCCTGGAGCAGGTGCTCAGAGCAGCGCAGGGCATCTGGACCTTCTCCGGGCACCGGCTCGGGAGACTGGGAGAGACTGCATGGAGCCATGGAGAGGGCAAAGTAAGAGTAGTCCACGGCGATGTAGGTGAGCATGAAGTTGATGGTGACCACGGGCGCCAGGATGTTCACCTGACCCACAAGGACAAAGGCCATGGTCACCAAGCTGGTCAGGCAGATGGCTGCTACAGGTGTTTTGTTTGGCCCTTTCTAGGAGAACAACAACAACAAAACACAAAATTATGAAATTTCAGAAAGGAAATTTCAGAAATTTTACAATTAAATGATATAAAAATCAAATGTAATATCTCAGGAAATTCTCTTATGGTGATATTTTATTTGTACTAAAATGTTATTTGTATGTTAATAAATAAAGTTGTCCGGGGGTCAAAGCTAATAGCAAGCCATCAAGCTAACAGCAAGAACCTGGGCGGTGGTGATGCATGCCTTTAATCCCAGCACTTTGTAGGCAGAGCTAGGCAGATCTCTGTGTGTTCAAGGATACAGCCAGCATTGGAGACACACGCCTTTAATCTCAATACCAACCATAGAAGACCTGGAGGTCTGTACAGACAGGCAGTGACGAGGCGCTCATGTGGTTGGGTTTACAACCAATGAGAAGGCAGAACAGAAAGTCTTTATAAAGACTTTAACACAGGAAGTAGCTCTCATTCGGAGAGGTAGGACCACTGCGAGAGGAAGGGTAAGGTTTTTAGCTCTTAGCTGTTGCTCTGACCTCTTGGCTTTCTTCTTTGCATTGATTCTGTGTTTCTTATTGAATAAGACAGTTACTTCTACATTCTCTCCATGTGAAGTTGGAAAAATAACATCCAACTCCTGGGGTCAGTGTGAGACCTGAGTTAACACATGATCACACAAACACAGCAGGGTCCTGTAATAGCTCCAAAACACCAGAGGCATGGGGCTCTTCACTATTAACATGGGTCGCTACCGTACAACTTTGGAAGTCTTGGTGTTTCAACTCCCCATGGGATTACAAACCACCGACCTCCTCTGCTCACTCAGGTTGGGTGCACAGCTCAGGGACAAGTTGTTCAAGTCCACCCAGAGGACACAGCAGAATCACGGGTGACCGGATCAGGGAAGTTCTGCTAGCATATGTGTGCTCAGGAACACATAATCACACATGCCCGGCATTCATGGAGGAGGGCATGGATGCGGGGAGACATTTTAACTGCCTTTCCTTGAAACTATCACAGCCACTCATGGTTCTGGAACCAAATCTGCATTGGCCTCTCGGTCCCTGTTCTTCACTGGAGGAGCCTCGTGTGACCCAGCTGCCCTTCCCTCTGTGGATGGCACCTGGCTTCTCTCTATTTGCCTCCTTCTCCACAGCTGCTCCCTCGGAGTCTTTCTAAACCACCCTCCAAGCCTCAGAGAGTCTGGATTATGTATATTATTGAGTTGTCTTTAAAATTTTTGGCTGCTAAGAGAACTTGGATTATGAAAGCTGCTAGATTAAACCAACCTATATATTTTTAAATTATCCTGATTTCAAAGTTTAAGCCAAAAGATATGTTGCTTTGGGAGAGAGGTTATGCTTTTGTTTTCACAAGAAATGAAGAACAGTGGATTCACTCCAGATTAAAGAAAATCAGGTTGATCAAGAAGACTCCCTAAATAGTCCTGGCTACAAACATAAAGAAATGAACTTAAAAGAACTACAAGACGCATGATGTATATTTTACCTGCTCAAACATAAAACAACAACAAAAAAATCATCTTTGGCTGATTTATGTACAATGCAGAATCTATACAATTAATGCAGATATGTATGTTACCTTTAAAAGTTTATGTATTGTCAGAGCAAGGGGACCAGAGGAATAAAACTGGATGGCCCAGGTGATGCCACATCTCAAAATGCCTCTGTTATAGTCTCCTCAGAATTCTGCATTCAGAACAGCTTGAAGGTTGCTGGCTGAGATGATCCAACCTCAAAGAATACTCCAGTCAGTCCTTGACCATAATCCTGAATTTTCTCAGGGTCCCCCAAAGATTACCAGTGTCCCCAATAAGCAGGAAGTAGTCTAGAAAACTATTCCCACATTCCCAAAATATTGGTTATAAATGTTTGTTTTCATTTAAGGAGTTTGGCTACAAATTGTTATTGGTTATAGTTAAAAAAAAAAGGCTAAACAAAGGAGTTAAACTCAGAGATCTCTTTCTAAAAGAAGAAAGAGGGATATTATATAGAAATAATGGGGGAAAATGTAGATTATTAAATCTACTTTAATCTAAAAGACAACTATTAATCTTACATATTTTACATTAGTATGGATTTTGGTTTATTGATACAAATTTAATTTTGTTACACTGTATGTATGTATCTACTCTTTTTTAGGGTATTATGTTTATGCAGCTCACTTAAAAATGTAAAATATAATTAGGAAATTCAGATTAATAGTCATCTATAGTAGCAAACTTATAATCATGTTAGTTAGGTTTTCAAGGTCACACAGAGATATATTTCAGATAGATAGGCAATCTTCAAACACTTCAAAGACCTCCAGAATATGGCACTTAAAATGTTGTAAGAACTTAGAATTTTCTCGACAGTGAGACACTTCTGCTCCTGGCGGAACCAATTACTTCAAAGACAATGATGAACATCAAAGAAACTCCATATGGAGTTTGTTTTCTTTATGGCAAAAGCTAGCCATGTGGGCAAAGAAACTTCTCTTGCCACAGTTACGGACAGTTACTGTCCAAACTGGACAAGCAAGACACAAGAAAGGCGACTACCAAACTTTGCCAAAACAAGGTAGGACAGTCCTTCAAAATTCCCTGCTTCACAGGAAAGTCTGTCATATATGCTAGGCTGTAGGACAGAGTTGGATGCCCCAACATTACAAGGGAACTTTGGGTGACTGTCCAGGCAGCCTGATGTCCCCTATCATTAGATAACATTTCACCCTTCTGGGGTCTTTGAATTGAAGACTAAATAGTTATAATTATAGTTTTCCGTAGTTATAATAGAAAAAAATGAGATTCAAAACTTTAGACTCACCAAGATAAGACAGATAATTACGTATTTTCTTTAATTTTGTCAAATGCAAATGGATTGGATATTGTTACTGTAATTCTTACTTAATAATCGTTTTTGTTGTATATAGTTTTACTATATTAAGTATAGTAAAAGTACTAGATTTTTTAATTAGACAAAAAGGGGGAAATGCTATGAAACAACTCCTTTCTACACTATGAATATTTATTACTCTCAATGGTTAATAAAAAGCAGACAGGCCAGTAGCTGGGAAAGAAGATAGGTGGGAAAGTCAAACTGAGAATGATGTGAAGAAGGAGGGCAGAGTCAGGAGAGACACCAACCAGCTGCTGAGCAAGCAGGACATGTAAAAAATGAGGTGACAAGCCGGGCGGTGGTGGTGCACGCCTTCAATCCCAGCACTTGGGAGGCAGAGCCAGGCGGATCTCTGTGAGTTCGAGGCCAGCCTGGGCTACCAAGTGAGTTCCAGGAAAGGCGCAAAGCTACACAGAGAAACCCTGTCTCGAAAAAAAAAAAAAAAAAAATGAGGTGACAAGCCATGAGCCACGTGGCAAAGCACAAATAGAAATGTAAGTTAATTTAAGTGTCAGAGTTAGCTAGCAACAAGTCTGAGCTACTGGCTGAAGCATTTATAGGTAATATTAAGTCTCTTAGTGATTGTTTGGGAACTGGCAGGCGGGAGAGAAATGTCTGACTACAAAAGGTGTCTATTTTCCAAATACCCATGAGAATGGCAACTGTGTAAAATACAGAGGATTAGAATGCCTCACCCATCTCTACAGCAGCACTGATTAGTACACATACCCTGGAAAGGGTCGGGTGTTACTCAGCATGTGAATATAGACACATTGAGCAGTTAAGAAATTCTGGTGGGGTTGGAGAGATGACTCAATGGTTAAGACCACTGGTTGCTCTTCTGGGAGACCTAGGTTCAATTCCCAGCACCTACATGGCAGCTCATAACTGTCTGTAACTCCTGTTCCAGGGGATTCAATACCCTCACACAGACATACATGCAGGCAAAACATCAATGCACATAAAAATAAAAAGAAATAAATCCTTAAAAAAAAGAGAGAAAAGAAATTCTGGTAATAGAAGCTGGAGATGATGGCACATGTCTTTAATCCCAACACTCAGGAGGCAGAAGCAGGTGGTTCTCTGAGTTCAAGGCCAGCCTGGTCTACAGAGCAAGTTCCAGGACAGCCAAGGCTACACTGAAAAACCCTCTTTGGAAAAAAAAAATTCCAGTAATAGGAATGCAGTTTGGGATTAGTCTAAATTTACATCCAGAGCAAAGATCATCCATAAAAGCCCCCAATACTAAGATGCTTCTACAACAAAGAGGAAGAGGATGCTCAGAAACATAATGATGAGAAATAGAGTATAGCACAGAAGGACACACACACACACACACACACACACACACACACACACACACACACAAAATTCCATGTACAGACTGCATAGCCTTAGTATAAAAATTCTGTATCTAAAATGCTGGAATTCCATAAAATCTGTAGTTGATTTGTATGGAAATTTAATTGGGAAATCCAATACCATGAAACTTTGTTTCATACCTAAAATGCTGTGTATAATTACCTTCAGGCTATGTGGCTAGGTATATATGAAACATAAATGAATGGAGTGTTTAGACTTGGCCCCAAAGATACTGCATTATAAATAGAGAAATATCCCAAACCTCCAAATCTGAAAAGCTCCTGGCCCCAGACAGTAAAGAGAAGGAAAACTTAATCTGTATTCAAAATCAGGCAAGCTGCTTAGAGATGCATAGGGAGGGAGCGGAGTTGCAAACTGAGGTCCCTGGGCCAAATCCCAGTGTCTGTTTGTGCCATGAGCTGCGAGCGACTTTGCATTTTATAAACAACTGGAGGGGAATCAAAAGGAGAAGAATGCTTTATTGCATGAATTACATAAAATTTAGATTTGTGTCCTTGGTCAAGGGTTAGGGACTCTCTGTGGCAACTGATGAGCAGAGCAGAGCACCAAAGGCTAAGGCGGGCTGGCAGGGTTCCGGAGTGGGGGCTACAATGTGCTTACCTCAGGGTTATTCTTCAATCTGCTGACATTGATTGTTATGACATTTTATACGATGTTCACTATAACCCAAAAATGTGTTTAAGTTTCAAATGTTCTGCCATTAAGAAAAGGAAATAAGCAAATATAA